GGGGAAACAGGTGAACCAACAATAGAATGCTTGACAGGTCACTGTCCCAGCCTAGAGGAAAACAGGAGAAATATATCAGATGCATCGTAAACAATTGAGACATTTTTTAAAAATACATGAACATGTACAATGAACAAAGCAAACCACACCAACCTGAGTCGTGCTGCACAGACTAGAGCTCATCAATGTGCTGATTTGAGGTCAGTTTTTTGCAGTCTATCAGGATCCTAGGTTTGACTAAAGCCATTTTGTCAAAAATCTGCCCCGACACGTCCTCTGTTGAAGTGTTCCTGTAATATTAAAAACAATAAATTATAGATCAAGTTCAGAACACATAATGACTCCATGAATTAAAATATAACCAATTCACAAACTTACATATCCTTTGTCTGAGTATGGATCTCTGAGGCTGGGAAATAGAAAAGTATCGAAAGTACATTAGTTCGCACAGACACTGGTGGGCTCTTCCTGAAAGACAAACACGACATTGCATGACAAAGATTACTTTATTCAGTTTTACATTTTCGTTATTTTCACACTGACTGCCGACACAGGGCACTATAGGCTTGTGTATCATTATCTGCTACTCCTGTAAGCTGCACTTTTTGGGGTGGTGCGACTTATACTCCGGAGTGACTTTACCGGGAAAATACGGTAGTTTGCACTGGAACCACTAGCTAACTAGCTTCTGTTTTATAGGTTGGATCCCTAGAAGGACTATGTACTTGGTGTCTCCATGGGGCAGTATGTTGCAGCAGATCTGATTTTTACACAAGAATTTCCCAAATGTGGGATCAATAAAGTTTTTTTTTTTTCTTTTAGTCCTACATATCTAAACAGTATATTTGCACTAAATAAATTTAAAAAAAATAGGCTCAGCATTACTTACCTTTTTTACACAATAATTTGTGAAGTATTAGGGACAGGATAATTAAGGAAATATTATGGACAGGACTGACTGAAGTTAGACAGAGAGGTGAAGGGATCCACCCCAATGACCTATTGATCGCTCTGTCGGTGCTCTCTCATGATTGGCTATCAGAGTGAACATTGGACCCATCACCCAAGACGGAGAGAGAAAATTAAATGTAGACTGCAGGACATTTTTGGAGCAAGAGCAGTTCAGGTAATCCTGTATTAATTCGTCTTGCATTTATTGCGATTTATTGCACAAAAGTAAGTGAAGTCTTCACAGACAGCAGACCAAAAAGGATAACCTGTTTGGATTAATCAAAAAATTGAAAATTGTAATCAGTGTTAATGCATTTCCTCATTGCAATTTTAAACCCTCATTGTAGTGCATTTTGACGAAGGTGTGACCTTATATTTGTCTTTTCAACAGTACTGTGATTTTTTTTTTTAAATAATTGCCTCAGAAAATGCGTTTGAGTTCGCACTGATGAAATGTGTTAGCACGTTGTAGAGACATCCTTATTTCCAGACTTTCTTTGCATTTTGAACTTTATTCATTTGTTTATTAGGTTGTTTGATTATTCAGTGCTGTAGTGTTTTACGTTTAGAAATACAAAAAACATTGCATCTGTCTTTGTGGACTGATAATGCCATTATTTTATAATTAAATCGGAATTCTTAACACTTTAATTGCAACGACACATTTGACCTCAAATCCGTGTGGAGATAGACCTGCCCTTTGAACTGTCTGTTTTTGTAATAAGTAGTTTGTAATAGTATTGCGACGAAAGCTAATACGTTATTTAACGTATAAATCTTCGCAGAGAAACCACATATCGTTACTGGCGTTTCCTGTGTGACGACCTGTGGGTTACAACAATGTACTTAATGGCGACTCTGTTTTTCATTCTTAATCTTGTGAATTCCTCTATAATGGTGTGGTCAGAATAACCCACAAAATTGAATAATAATAATAATAAAAAAGCTTAAAGAAACGCATAAAATTAATTGTAATTGTAAGTTTAAGTCGACGTTTTTAAGTAAAGCAAGTTGACAAGCTGAGCCTTTGTGTCGCAACACTCCCACCTGGTGGCTAAAATAGAACGGTAAACTGAGCCAGTCGATCCGCAATGACGTGTGTGTTTGTGCAATATGCTGAATGTGTTTTTGGTCTAGGAATACCTCAACTTTTCATTACTGGCATTGAATAATTGATATAACATTTAACTTGGTGTTAAATTACATTAAGATAGTTACTGAAACTGTTTAATACGGCACAGCGCCACCGAGAATATTTGCGAGCAGCAGTTTGGTTTTATGGCTAGAAAATGTTGTAGAGATGTGATTGCTGGTAGAAACGTTAGAAGTAGACAAGGAGTTGCTCTGTGTCCTTGTGGATTTAGAGATTATATGGTCGGTTACCAAGGGAAGATTCGATAGATAGATAGATAGATATATAGATAGATAGATAAATAGATAGATGGATAGATAGATAGATAAATAGATAGATGGATAGATGGATAGATAGATAGATATATAGATAGATAGATATATAGATAGATAGATATATAGATAGATAGATAAATAGATAGATAGATAAATAGATAGATAGATATATAGATAGATAGATATATAGATAGATAGATAAATAGATAGATAGATATATAGATAGATAGATATATAGATAGATAGATAAATAGATAGATGGATAGATGGATGGATAGATAGATGGATGGATAGATGGATGGATGGATGGACGGATAGATAGATAGATTGATAGATAGATAGATATATAGATAGATAGATAAATAGATAGATGGATAGATGGATAGATAGATAGATATATAGATAGATAGATAAATAGATAGATAGATATATAGATAGATAGATAAATAGATAGATAGATAAATAGATAGATGGATAGATGGATGGATAGATAGATAGATAAATAGATAGATGGATAGATAGATGGATGGATAGATAGATAGATGGATAGATGGATAGATGGATAGATAGATGGATGGATAGATGGATGGATGGAGGGATAGATAGATAGATGGATAGATAGATAGATTGATAGATAGATAGATGGATGGATAGATGGATAGATAGATGGATGGATAGATAGATGGATAGATAGATAGATATATAGATAGATAGATATATAGATAGATAGATAAATAGATAGATAGATAAATAGATAGATAGATATATAGATAGATAGATATATAGATAGATAGATATATAGATAGATAGATAAATAGATAGATGGATAGATAGATGGATAGATGGATAGATGGATGGATAGATGGATGGATAGATAGATAGATATATAGATAGATAGATAAATAGATAGATGGATAGATAGATAGATAAATAGATAGATAGATAAATAGATAGATAGATAAATAGATAGATGGATAGATAGATGGATAGATGGATGGATGGAGGGATAGATAGATAGATGGATAGATAGATGGATGGATAGATGGATAGATAGATAGATAGATCTAGATGATCATATATAGATTATTAATTGTACTAGTAATAGTAGATTAGTAGATAATTATTGTTGTTAGGCTTAAAAACAATATAAACAGTTTTTATTCAAGAAGAAAAGTGCAAATGCAAGGTTCTTGGCACTTGGTGGGGCACTCTTGCAGTTTGGTTATGAGAGAGAAACTCAATTACTTGTTGAATCAGTTACGATAGTTCTCAATCTGGGTGGGGTTTATTGAAGTTACAAATATTGTACATTGCTGTGCAATAAAACTTTTTAATTAACACCAGGTTAAATAATTCAGCAGCATGAACTTTGCTATAAGGCAAACGCCTTTTACGCTCCCATGGGCCACACAAAATAGGCAAACACCTTTTACGCTCCCATGGGCCACACAAAATGATTTGGCAGGCCGCATTTCACACTGTCTTACATCGTTTTTTTTCTTCTGTCTCTTATAACGTTAGAAAGGTCTTTTCTTTCCTGCCCACACTGCCCATCGGCATGGCTCTTCCTCTATACCTGCCCAAAGGCAAGTTCCTCCTCAGGACACCTGAAAGATGGAAACTTTCCCTCGGCTCCTGTTTGAGGTTTCAGCACTATGCAGATCCAACCGTGATGGATGCTGAGGGACGTCGGCTGAAGGAAACCAAAAGGTCCAAGAAACAAGTGACTTTCGCTGACCAAAAGGGCTTATCGCTGACTATGGTGAAGGTCTTCTCAGAGTTTGATGACCCCATTTATAATTTGGCAAGCGACCAGCTGATGCTGCGCTCCGCTCCCTCTGTGGGAGCAGTGGACGACAAACTGATCCTGGACTTCCATCAGCCATCCTCGGACTATGTATTCTTTTATCAGCGTCTAGATAGGAACAACGTGTGCCTGGAGCGCTGTGTGCTCGGTGACAGAGCTGTGACGGGAACCGTCAAAGTCAAAAATGTGACCTTTGAGAAGAGCGTAAGGCTGCGCGTCACGTTCGATACCTGGAAGAGCTTCAGGGACGTAGACTGCACACACACAGAGACAATATATCCCAGCTGTGCCAGCGACACCTTCTCCTTTGAGATGTCTGTGCCGGATGAGCTGCAGCCACACCATTGTGTTGAGTTCGCTGTTTGTTATAGGGTGGATGGATTTGAGTACTGGGACAACAACAATGGTGACAATTACAGAATCATCCGGTCGTCGATGAAGAGGAGCCAGCCCAGTACTCTTAGCTGCTACTCTTTTGACATGGGGATTCATTTTGATCCGTATGGCAGCCCAACCTGTTCACATGGAATCTTCCCTGACTGGCCAAGTTATGCCAGATATGAAAACAACAGTCCATATTATTAGAGAGATTTTTCCATAATAAAATGATTGATTCTAGACTCTTTTGCATTGACTCAGCAGTCCACCTGATACAGTCGATTTTAATTGAAGTATTGGAGGTAAAATCACAATTAATGTATACAGCTACTCACAAACTAAGTTCTACCACTTCTAAAGGACAAAAACGTTTCTTGAATGAATGGTATTCTACATTACTTCATTCCTTGGGTTTAATTGAGAGTTTCTTTAAATCTAGTAATTGAAAATAAAAATTGTCAAGTTAAATCACATTTGAAAATGTACAGCCGTTCAGGTTGAATTATAGTGACTCACATTTGCTAACATTGTATGTAACATTTTATATATATATATATAGAATGTACTGTATGTATATATATGCATGTACTGTAAAACATCTTGGTTCAGGGCCTAAATACAGCCTAATTAGATGTGAAGTGGGCTGGGCGAGTACAATCATAACATAATTACCTATAAATAATAATAGGTCCAAAAGGTTTCCCCCCCCTTTTTTAATGCATGCGACTTAGAAAATCTTCACATTTAATGGAACATCAGTTTACAAAACATCATGAACATGAAGGGTTTTACTTTCACAACGCATCAAGCAACCTTTATTGAACCCCGTAGAGGGCCGGTTTTGGTCCACGGGCTGTATGTTTGACAGCCCTGCTGTAAAAGGTCATTTCAGTTTCATAATAAACCATCCCAGGAAAAAAGACCAATCAAGAAAAATAATTACTCGTATTTGTCTATGTTGCTGTCAAATGCGTTACCCAAAGTCTTCAGGACTGTGTGCTAGTATAATTTATTAAGTATTTTCAGGGAAATCTCACGGAGCTTAATTGACCCACAAATAACAACAATATTCTGAAATTGAAAAAGCTTCAAAAATGCTTGTTGCTTCCGCAAACAACAATGGGATACAAAAATTGGTAAAAAAAAAAAAAAACCGTAAGTATTTTCAGGGAAATCTCACGGAGCTTAATTGACCCACAAATAACAACAATATTCTGAAATTGAAAAAGCTTCAAAAATGCTTGTTGCTTCCGCAAACAACAATGGAATACAAAAATTGGTTAAAAAAAAAAACTACACTTAACCTTTATTTTCATGAAATCAGGTTGGAAGTTCTGTCTTCAACTTCTGCATTTTAAGTGCATACGTTTATAGTTTTGCTGGTCCTGTCCTCTCTTTTAACCTGATTCATTCTGTGGTTATTATAGACCACTACTAAATGACCAGTGAGAATCCTACCACTGAGCCATCATTTGCCCCAAATAAACCAAATTTCATGCAAATTTCTGTGTATGGGGCCAATTATGTCAAATTGAGAAGTCGTTTCTTTATAGCAAATACATTCACACTGCCCTCTTCTGGCCGACATTTAGAATGACGCATTACGGAAAATGGGTGACACATTTTGGGAAATATTTACTATATAATACAAGCATAAACAGAATTAAATCCTCACAATTAAACTATCAAAACATTTACACAATTGTATACGTAAATGTGTGTTTCAAGCAGGAAATGACTGCATTTAACACATTCAGATCCAAATATGTGAAAGAGACTGCGGAAGGCCTTTATATACCATGCCAACAATGTCTCAGCCGATCACAGCGGACATTTTCTTATCATTGTTCATATTCAAGGTAGCTTAAGGTTAAACAATTGTTCTGAAATGCGATGTCAATTTGAGATACACCGCTTTGGTTGGGCAGAGTGAGCGTCGCTGCATGGAGGTCACCGCAGACATTTAACTAGCGTAAACGGTGAAACGGAGACGGAGGCGGGGAGAGGGCGAACAGTGGCCAGACGCCTTCAAACATGGCGTCTCCGAAGCAAAATGAGAAAAAAATATTAAAACGCGCGGCCTGATTTCGCCTGTTTGGTATACTCGGTTTTTTTTTCCTACGTCATATTCGATTCGGTGCCGGCAGACTCGTTGTGATTTATACCTGAATGTCAATAAAAAAAACAAGTTATTCAAGAAGCGAGGGTTTCTGGAGGAGAAAACAAGCCCTGTTTTGTTTTGATGCGTCGTTGCTGACAGCTAGCAACAGCCGCCAGCACACACAGAAAAGAAGATAAATGGTTGGGAAAGATTTGCATGCAAAGATAGGGGATTTCAAAACAGCAGATTTCTCAGCCTCGGTTGCAGGGAATTAGTTGATACCAACGTGGCTTGTTCAAGGCGACCATCGCAGGTTTGTTAGCAGTGTAGCAAAAACTAGCCTAAAGAAAGGGGAGGAGAGACGGTGGAAAATCAAATGTTTTTCAGTAATCTGTCCATTAGTGGCCAATTCGCCGCATCTTCATTATGAGCGCGCCTGATACGAGACGGAATCTTAACTAGTGGAAATGGTAAACGTTAAAGATGCTACATTAAGAGAAAGTCTGTTTTGGAGATGGTTGGATTATAACCCCGTAGACCCCCCTCTCTTTTTTCATCTAGCTTTCTCCTCCCCTCCATTTCTCTTTCAATATGCTGTTTTCCACTCCTGAGGACTTGCACATGAAACCGGGGAAAATAGCCTAAAAGCGAGTACAGAGTAGAATAGTAGATCTTTTGTGCTCGACTTATGTGATCCGTTTTGTGAAGCTCTCGTTGGCTTTATCCCTTCTCTCGTTGCAAACATTGTTGTCAAGACATCAATGGATAGAAATTACCCGGGAACAGGATTCGGGGATTTAGGCGCAGGAGCAGGATGGAGTTACGAGAGATCGGCCAAAGCAAGGTATGTATTTGGAATAAGAGAGTGTGCTGATGCATCACACTTTGCTATGTTGTGTGTGTGTGTGTGTGTGTAAGTGCCATGCAAGCAGATGACTTTCACTTGGCTTCATAGAGATAGTCACAGTCGCCATATGTGTGAATGCAATGCATCGTAATCCAAATATCTAAACATGATAATAACATTATAAATAGGAATGGGAGCAGTGTCGTGGGGGTGGGCGGAGTGGAGAAAGGGCTTGTCGGTGGATATGAATTTAAGTGCTATTGACAGACGTGGGTTTTTTTTTAGGTAGTCTTGGCAGAGGGTGGAGGAAGAACAGTAGCAACGGGAGGAGTAGAGGTAGAGTGTCTGGACTGGAGCATCCATAGGAATTATTGTTTCTGTGTGCAGCAGGCCTGAAGATACAGGGACTGATATAAAATCCAGTGATTTGATGGAGGCTCCTGGGATTGCACACCGCGGCAACGAAAGTGCATTATATATAGTCAGACATCAACAGAATAAGAGTCACGTCAATAACACGCATTCAGTAAGAACATAGTAAATGCACATTCGAAAGTAAATTGAAGGCATTTGTCTCATGTTACTTGGTTGCAATGCCTTTTTACCCAAAATCCAGATCCAGATACCTGCATCAAGTTATTCATTAGGTTTATTTGCGTACTTTAGTTGTAAATACAATTACATGCACAGACTGCGTCAGATGTTTGTCTGAAATAAACACATTATTGACTATAAAGACGGGATATACTTTAAAATATAGATATATATATATATAGATAAATATAGATATTGATGATAACCCCTAATGTCTAGGCTGCAGCTCTGTCTTATTTAAGTCTCAAGTTAGCATGCAAGCTAGCATTTTGATGCATGGAAGTCAATCGAGGCCTGCGCACACTAGCATTATCGCACCTCTTTTGCTGCAAAAATGTCGCATTGGTGTTCCGTTCTCAGTCCGGACGCGTTATAAGTCATCTTTCCACTAACGGAAGTGATATTTGGCTAAATGTACGTGTCTATATTCCGGCTATTACCATGCGTTTGTGTTCGCTTTCTCTATACAGCTGTTAGTCGCACCAACAATATATACGTTTTAGGACTAATTGAGTGTTTTGCTTTTAATAAAAATAAAATCAACTTTTATTTTTTTGCTAATGCAAAATCCACACCATGTAGTTCTAAGATTAAATGAAAAGTAACACTGTATTCCTGGCCTGGCCTCTATATGTCTGCTCTTAGCTGCTGTGACAACCTGCTAGTCTGTGCTTAGCCCCAATGCTACCGTGTTATTTTTAGTGCGCGCAATAATTTTTTTTTTCACCTAATTATTTAAACCAAATTAATAAAGGGTCAATTTGTAGATTTATTCAATATACTATACTTATGTTACGTCTTAATTTCAGTTTCTCTAATTTAATAAATAATTGTTTTACATATTGCTTGTTTGGCAGATGCATCAGTTTTTGTACACTAGTTTTATTCATTTTGTTTACTAAGAAAATACATGATATCAAGAACATTTTTTACATCTATTTTGTATACATATTATACCACAGGTTTAAGACCTCAGCTATTTTATATAACAGGGTCCCTGTTATAAAATTCCATTTTTTGTATTGTTTATATTTATTACATTACTCAGAAAAAAATATTTAATAAAATTGTCCTTTATATCGCCAAGAAACTCGATTTTTTTCAAAATATTTTCAATGTTAATTTGATAAAGATTATTATTTTAGTGTTGACCTATAACGTAGTTAAAGGTTTTTTAAATTTACAGTACACGTATAGTATAATACTGCAGTGTTGACACCAAATGCAGCTACAAACATACATTTTTTTCCCACTTAAGTCCAGCAAATTTAACTGTCGTTTTGTGACGGAAGATCTTCCTTATTGGCACTGTAATTCAGATTCTATGATTTGCAGTGGTTGTAGAAAAAAAAATAATATTGTACACGTTGTTTATATACAAACTTAGTCTATATAGTCTTTCTAAGGGTCTCTGTTTGTAATACTTTGAATTTGAAATAAAATGAGTGACAATTTCAAATCCCTGCATTTTAATTTTTGTTATAGCCTTGTATATGGGACTTCCAGATCATCCCACCCTGAGTCTGAGCTCCTTCACCGGCAAACTTATGCCACCCCACACCCTCTGCAGGGCTATGCCACCAATCATCACCCAGGGAGCTCTGGTCAAGGCGGAGCTTGGGGAGCAGCTGGACGGAGTTTGGGTAAGATAAATGTCATACATTCTATGTCATCGCCGAATGGCTCCAGCAATGAATGTTGCCCCATGGAGATTGTCATGAAGTAAATGGCTGGGCCTCCATCTAAAAAAAAAAAAACAACCAAAAAAACAAACCTTAATGACACAAGATCATATTTTCCATTTTTTCATTATTTCATCTGTTATTATTTTGTTGTTAATTCCAGCTGATAAGAGGCAACACCAAAGTATTTTCTAATCCTAATGCCAAAATGTACACATTTTAGGTAAAAAACAAACAGATAAAAAAAAAGTTACATTATGTCATATGTTATACATTTCTAAACAAAGCAAAGAAACTAAAAAGTTATATTATGTCATATGTTATATAGATTTCTAAACAAAGCAAAGAAACTAAAATAGTGTCATTGTGCTTAAATACATGTTTTCTCCACAAAGGACTTTGCGGGGAGACTGTGATTGTGATTTCATATTGATATGAATTATACAGTATTTCTTTTTTTAGTACAGTAAAACTGTCCTAATAAATCTGTGGAATCATTTTGCCGAGATGTCGGAACTCTCCAGCATATTGACCGTGACCACGTATTGTCCATGAAAGCACGTACAAACCAAAGTTAGCGTTCTGCTGACAAGCGTCTACACACGACAAAGAGAACGAGAGGTGTACTGAGGTGTCCCGATTGGTCCGTTTTGCTAGGTGCTTTCAGTATGATCGGTTTTATCAATTATTAAGACGACTCCCCACAAAAAAAAAAAAAGAAAACCACACTATTTCTGATGTACCTAGTAAAATATGGAGCAGCTTTAAACCATGTAATTTCTTTTGTATATCAGTAAGACATTTAATGTCCAAACTGGCAGTTGAAGTGAAATATAATAAACCCAGACTTTTTTTAACGTCACCCCTTTTAAAGGCCCTTTAAGCATTAAAGATGTCTTATTTAATTTTATTTGTATTTTACTATTGCTATAACTGTACTTTGGGTTTAGACAAATTCCTCCATGGAAAGGTCTTTCAACAGTCATTTCTAAATTAGCTACTATGTTTGAACTAGAAATGCTTTGTTATTTTAAGGGGAACAGGTACCTGGCTCTATATACACTTAACTGTTGGAAGTTTTTTTATTAAATAGTAACTGAAAGTCCTTAAGTTCACAACAGTACTGAGGTTGTTATTCTTTTAACAGCATACAGTATATAACGGATGGACCAAAATGATAATGAAATAATGAGGAAACCAGATTCGTATTATGTATATGACTGGCGTACTAACCTCACTAAAATCAAGTTATTGAAATTGAATAAATACATTTTAAAATTACATTAATGTTTTGGTTTCTCGTTTCAAGATGCTACTGTTGTTTGTCTCTGGTTTGTTAATAATCAAAAAATAGACCAATTTGTTCATTCATTTTTATTATTGAAATTGTAATATTTTGGCGTAATCAAATTCTGACTATTAATTACATTTTTTTCCACCCATGCAGCCCTAATTCTCAACTCAATTTTCTCATTAAAGGTTTGTCTGGGCTCTTTGATACTGGCCTACACCACACAAGCCCATCCACTCCTGATGCCTCCGTCATGAATCTGATTTCAGCCCTGGAATCCCGGGGTCCCCAACCTCCACCCTCTGCCTCATCCCTTCTTTCCCAGTTTCGCACACCATCCTGGCAAACAGGTGTGCCTCAAACACCTCCTCTTAAATCTCTGAAGATTTTAACTGTATTTCTTGACCGTTTTGTTCCAGAAGTGTTAATAGTTGTTATGTCTTATGTCACATGACGACTGTGTGAATCCAGAGTAATTTTGGATTATCTCTTCCTTTTTCCCCAACAGCAATGCATACACCTGGTCCTCCCGAACTTTTTATCTCTGGGGCCCTTCCTGGCTCTGGTTCTTTTCCTTCCTCCTCAGCTCTCTCAGCTTATCAGCACCCAGCATCGTTCTCGAGCCGTTCCTTCCCTGCTGCTTCACTTTCCCTCCAGGATACACCCACATTCAGTCCCACATCTAATGGGCTGCTCTCCCCTCATGACCCTCTGCTTCACATCAAGGCCCCCTCCCAGTCTAGTCTGGGTTTTGATAGACTTCTGTCGTCACAGGGTGCCGCTGCAGCTGCTTATAGGGGCAACCAGGATCCCACCGGAGCCCCTTCAGCCCAGGCGTCCTCTGCTCGACACTTGCAGTCCCACCAATTCAATCTGCTTTCGTCACAGCTTCAGGACCAGCCCTCTCAGCTATACAATGCATCAGTGTTTTCCTCAGCCCAGTCCCAGGCTCAGCCCCAGTCCAGTTCAGCTCAGGAGCGAGCTGTGCCCCGACAGGACAGTGTTATCAAGCATTACCAGAGGCCCACACCAGCGCAGTCGCAGCTTGCATCTTCTGCCGCCCACTCCCTTCAGCACTACCTTAGTTGTGGGGGGGCAGGATACCAGCAAATAACACCCCACCCCAGACATGCAGGTCTTTCATGCAGTCCACTTGGAGACCAGAGCCCTTCTTCTGACCTTAAGACGAACTCCCGCACTGAGCAGTATCGCCCTATCATCCAGCCTCCTTATTCGTCGTCCTCATCCTCCACGTCTTCATCTTCGGCAGGAAAGAGCACCAAGAGCAGTTCTAGCAGTGGCTATTCTTCGGCAAGTTCGGCTTCGTCAAGAACCCCTCACACCCCCCCATCTGCTTCATCCACATCCTCCTCTTCCTCTTCCTCTTCTGCCTCCTCTGGTGCTCATCCTTCCAACTCTATCCCTACCTCTAGCTCAAGTTCAGCCCCGTCTAGGCAACAGCCACCTCCTCAAACAGCACCCCCTCCCCAGACCCAACAGCAGCAGCAGCAGCCCCCTGCGACTTCAACTTCAGCACCGCAGTCCCTTCCCAAATCTTGTCTCTCTGGCTACGGTTCTCCTGTGCCCCCAGGGAAAACACCGACTTCCGCTCTTGCTGGTCAGACCCCAACTCAGCAACAGACACAGTCATATTCCCCCAATCACCCCCCTACTTCCCACTTGGCTCAGTCCTATGGTGGCTTCAGTTCACCACAAGCCCAGGACTTAAGCTCAGGTGCTGCTGCGAAAGGATATGGGAGTTTAGGTGGACGAAGCCAGTCATATTCTACTGATATTTATGGAACTGATTCTGCTTATAGCTCCCTTCCATCTTCTCTTGGTGGAGCTGGAAGCCCATCACTGGGTTATGGAGCGCCAGGTCACTCTCCTGCCCTTTTAAGATCAGCTGGTTCATCTGGTAGTGGCGCATCTGGTGGAGGAAGCAGCACCAGTGCAGGAAGTGGAAACTCTGGCTCAGGAGGAGGAGCAGGAAATAGTATGGCGAACGAAAGAGGTGGAGGAGGAAGCAGTGGAGCTGCTTATCATATTCCAGATTCTAGCCCATCTCCATCGGGCAGCACAGGAATCATTCGTCCAAGGTTGCACTCCCCTGTGCCTCCCTGTCCAACGCAATCACCAGGAGGAACAGGGTCGAACAAATATATTTCATCAGTTCTTTCCCCTACCTTCTTAGCCTCCCCACAGGGTTACCCGGATACCAGAGGTCCCAGCTCCCAACCTCAGCCCTACCATTCCAACTCTTCTAAAGCAAAAGCAGACACGTCCATGCTGGGAGTTGGCTCTCAAAGATCCCAGGATGAAGTTGATGATGATGATGAGTTTCTTATTCAGCATTTGTTGCAAGCCCAGGCGAGTCCCACTCCCCAAACGACTCATCAACATTCTCAACAGCCACTCCAACCCACCCCCCAACAAGCACAGCCTCAGCCCCAGTCAGTGGTCCCTACCACTGATTCAGGAAAAGGACTCAGCTATGACATTGTAAAAACAAGTGAGGAGAGGTACCACCCCCAGAGTGTCATACGTACCCACAGTGCCACATCGGGTGGAGTAGGAAATTCAGCGTCTGGAGGGTCCATGTCGGGGTTGGAAAACCAGTTGGAGATGTCACTGAAAAAACAACAACAGCAGCAGCATCAGCAGCAACACCAACATCAACAACAGCAGCAGCAGCAGCAACAACAGCAACGAAATGAGAGGTCTGTTGGAAGCAGTAGGAGCAATGGTGGCAGAAGCAGTGCTGAACAAGTGCACCCCCACCTCCATCACCATGACAACCTGGGCTCGGTAGTCCATTATGGGCGGGGCGATCCATTCACACCACACTCTCTGGCTCCGCAACACTCCTCCCACAGTCAGCATGTGTCCTCTCACTCCCAGATAACATCTCATACCCAAATGGAGCTCCAGAAAAAGACACAAGATCGTGCTGAAATTCCGTATCCTCAGAAAACACCAGAGGTCCAGGCACAGCATTCCCAGTCTCAAGCTGCTGCTTCTCTGATGGACTCGCCCAATGACCAATCCCGTCAGCCGCCGCACCTCCTGCAGTCGGTGTTGTCCCACACCGCCCGCAACAAACTGGAGCCTCATCAACAACACCACAAAATAGACTCTCATCGGCAACACCAACAGCACCACAAGTTGGACTCCCACCAGCCTCTTCAACAACATCCAAAAATGGATTCCCACTCTCAGCATCAACAACATCAGAAGATGGACTCTCATCAGCATCAGCAGCACCACAAAATTGATCCCCATTCGCAACATCAGCAGCACCATAAACTAGACTCTCACGCCCAACAACAGCAGCACTCTTTAAGCCAACAGCAAACAGTAATGGAAAGTGCAAACGGCAGACTTGGTTCTACTAAGCATCAGTCACAGTCTCAGTCTCAAACCACTCAGCTTCAGCTTCAACTTCAGTCCCAAGCTCTTGAAGTGGCTGCAGCCCACTATAACCACGGACCGGCTCCTCATCAGCACGAGCAAAGCCACATTAAACAAAGCACAGTGGTCTCCTCCTTGGACATGCTCGAGCGCTCTCTGTCACAAACATCCGGCACAGATGTAGCTGTCGAGGACCGACATAGTGTTGCCGGCAGTGGAAGAAGAAGTGGAGGCAGCAGCGAATGTCCCAGACAGCAGCAGCAGCAGGAGCAGCAGCAGCAGCATCCTTCCCATCATCAGTCGCAACAGAGTCGCCAGTCGCAGCAACACTCAGCATCTGAACTCCACTCCTTCCTTTCCGAGCCTGATATAAACCTGGCCACGCGATCACACATGCACCACTTGTCACAGCATCACCCACAACAGCAGCAGCAGCAGCCTTCCCATCATCAGTCGCCACAGCGTCGCCAATCGCAGCAACACTCGGCATCTGAACTCCACTCCTTCCTTTCCGAGCCTGATAAAACCCTGGCCCCGCGATCCCCCATGCCCCACTTGTCACAGCATCACCCACAACAGCAGCAGCAGCAGCCTTCCCATCATCAGTCGCCACAGCGTCGCCAATCGCAGCAACACTCGGCATCTGAACTCCACTCCTTCCTTTCCGAGCCTGATATAAACCTGGCCACGCGATCACACAGGCACCACTTGTCACAGCATCCCCCACAACAGCAGCAGCAGCAGCCTTCCCATCATCAGTCGCCACAGCGTCGCCAATCGCAGCAACACTCGGCATCTGAACTCCACTCCTTCCTTTCCGAGCCTGATAAAACCCTGGCCCCGCGATCCCCCATGCCCCACTTGTCACAGCATCCCCCACAACAGCAGCAGCAGCAGCCTTCCCATCATCAGTCGCAACAGAGTCGCCCGGCGCAGACACCCCCAGCATCTGAACTCCACTCCTTCCTTTCCGAGCCTGATATAAACCTGGCCACGCGATCACACATCCACCCCTTGCCCCAGCACCCCCCACAACAGCAGCAGCAGCAGCCTTCCCATCATCAGTCGCCACAGCGTCGCCAATCGCAGCAACACTCGGCATCTGAACTCCACTCCTTCCTTTCCGAGCCTGATAAAACCCTGGCCCCGCGATCCCCCATGCCCCACTTGTCACAGCACCACCCACAACAGCAGCAGCAGCAGCCTTCCCATCATCAGTCGCCACAGCGTCGCCAATCGCAGCAACACTCGGCATCTGAACTCCACTCCTTCCTTTCCGAGCCTGATATAAACCTGGCCCCCGGATCACACATGCACCACTGGTCCCAGCATCACCCACAACAGCAGCGGCAGCAGCAACATCAACGCAACATCAACAAACCCACTCTCATCACCCTCACTCCCAATCACACCCTCAACAGCAGCCCCCACTGGCTCACCACATACCTCAACCCTCCGCCTCGTCCCACTCCCAACCTCAGCCAGACACACAGCTTACTCCTCAGCAAAGCCAGCTGGACCAACAGCGCTCAGAGCAGCACCAGTTCGACACAGTCAACCCAGTAGAAAAGGCAGACCAGAATCAACAAAATAACCGCTTTGTGCCCCTGACCTCTATCTGCTTTCCAGATTCTCTACTTCAGGATGAGGACCGCTCTTTCTTCCCGGGAATGGAAGACATGTTTTGCACAGAGGACTATAAGTCCAGCTGTGCTGGAGGTGCAGGACCAGGACAGGGGGCGATGAATGAAAGCCACACTGGGCAAGAAGGAATGGACACCTTGAAAGCTGGACAGAGTGCAAGTGGTGCTGGGGAAACTGCTGGAGATACCTATGACATAATGGGTCACCACACTGCGGACCAGGCTTATGAACCATACTGTCACGGTTTGGAAGAACCCAGCAACAACACCATGACTCTGGATCTTGACTCTCTGAAAACACACGAACTCCCTTCCACTGTTAACACTGAACAACTGGGATTGATACAGTCTCAGGGTTCGGGTATGGGTATGAGCTCAAATTCTGCTCCTAATAGCTCTGGAGCTAAGATGTCTTCTGTGCCTGGAGTAGCTAACATAGGACCTGGGTCTGGAGGCCTGCAGTCTCCTATTTTTTGCTCATCTCGCCCTAAAAAGCTCCTCAAATCTAGCTCTTTCCACTTGTTAAAAGAACGCCGGGATCCGAACACACTGCCGAAGAAAAGTTACGCTCAAGAGTACGAGTTTGAAGATGATGAGGATAAAGCCGACCAGCCTGCAGATATCAGGTTAAACAGTCGAAGGCTTCCAGATCTGTTACCTGACTTGGTGTCCAGCTGCAGGAAAGGGGGAGGAAGTGGTTCTCTCAGCCCTTTAATGGGTGATATTGATTTTTACCACTCATCAGGTTACTCTTCTCTCGGTTCACACTCTCTCATGCCACAGGAAGGACCAAAGAAGAGAGGCCGAAAGCCGACAAGACCTAAGAGAGAGGGTCCTCCAAGGCCAAGAGGGCGGCCTCGCATTCGCCCAATGCCTGAGCCATACACTCCAAGAGGAATGATGGGGGAGTTAGGTGGAACAACAGTGGGAGGAGGGTTCAGCGTAGAAGGCCGAGGTAGGGGCAGGGGTCGCGGAAGCCGTGGTAGAGGAGGAAGACGGGAGGATATGTATATGGAATTAAAAGAGCAAGATCAGTTGCATCATCACCTGCAACAGCAGCAGCAGCAGACAAAGAAGCTCCAACATCAGTCAGAACAGCAACAGGAGCCTATTCCACCGCTGAAGGTGAGTGGTCTTTTCATAAACGCTTGGAAATATCAGTGAGGGTTCAAATTTGAGTCTGTAAAAAATGTCTAAAATGTCTATCTTGAAGCAATAAAGAAAACCGAGACAGTTTATGGAAAAACATGGGACGTTTTTGTAAAAGACTGTTGAGCTTCTGTAGGTTGAAGTACACCTCTTGTTTGTTGATACTTGTACTTTTATGCATTAAAACAAAGGGGAAATAACAGACTTATATTATTATTTATAGGTAATTCTGTTCTGTTCTGATTGTACCGGTCCAGTCCACTTGACATTTAATTAGGTTGTATGAGCCTACTGAACCAAAATAAAACTGAAAAAACAAAACAAACAAACAAACAAGAAACTTCCATGTAAATGTGCCTGTTGTTAATTTCTCAAATGCATAATTATTTGGTTTCGTTGTAGTCATTGTAAAAAGTTCCTCTCCGTCTGCTTCTTTATTAGATCAAATTACCCATTGGAACCCTGTCGTCCTCGGACGCTTTGCTGCGGACAGACTCATTGTCTGGCACAGATCCTGCCCTGTCAGATGGCTCTGTGGGCTCTGCCCCCTCACTTGGTCTTAGCCCTGGACCCCCATGCAGCGCAGACAGTACCAGAAACCGGGACAAGAACAAGGAGAAAAGCCAGATGATGGGTGAAGAAGTTGATGAAGGGCTGGAGGAAAAGGTAAAAAAATCCTTTCTTCGTGGATTAAACCTGCTTACAAGTTATTGAGATTATACATATTCATTATTTAAGGGTTTTAAGCTCTGTTCTGTTTGATTCTAGGGGAATGAGAAGGGCTCTGAGTCCAAAGCTGGTTTTGTGGCTTCATTCCTAGACTTTTTGAAGACCGGGAAGAGACCTCCAGACTTAGACATTTCTCCAGAAATGGAAACCGACAATGGCGAAGACTCGCCTTGTAAACCAGGAGCTTTACGCCCGCTTTCCCCTGCTCCACCTCCTCCGCCACCTCCACCTCAGTTTGGAGATGGTGATGGCAATAGCGGTCTCGCCCTAGGCAACTGCTCAAGCCCCAAGCGCTTGGAAGACGAGTTGAAGAGAAACCTGGAGACATTACCATCGTTCTCCTCTGACGAGGAAGACTCGGTGGGAAAGAACCAGGACCTCCAGAAAAGCATCTCCTCGGCTATTTCAGCTCTGTACGACACTCCTCATCTAACCTCCAACATGCAAACTCCTCTCCCTCCTCCTACTCTCCAACCTCAACCTCAGCCGCAACCTTCCCAGTCACCCCTTATTCCTGCTCTGCAGCCCCCAACACTAAGCCACCAGTCCAGCATGCACACTCCACACGCTCAGAACCAGTCGAATGAACCCAGTGTTCTCCAGCCAGAAGACATCGAAGTCGAGGGCAATGAGGAGGAAGAGGAGGAGGAGGAGGAAGAGGTGGAAGAAGAAGAGGAGGAGAAGGAAGAAAAAGAACTAAGCCCAGGTCGGAACAAAGAGAATTATATGACAGAAAAGATGCAGCAGCCTCAGCTAGAAACACTCTCTACACCTAAACTAGATGGTAAGGTTGTTTTTTTTTCCTTAATTCACGGGACATTGTTTTGTTGAAACTTTTTGTCGCATATAGACGAGAATGTCTAAATACACTATGTCTTACAGTGATGAAGTCCCTTTAATTATCTTCAGTTTAAAATGTCCATTTAAACCATAACCTTTAATAGTACAGAGAAGGATGACATCACTACAGGCTCTAGACATCAGTTAGCCTTGATATGCTAACGGTCTGCTCGGTAATTAATTCAAAATCAATGTCAGCTTTATTGTCAATTTCTTCACATGTACTAGACATACAAAGGAATCAAAATGACGTTTCTCACTGTCCCATGTGTAGACAAAACGGGCCCAACGAATTACTTAGCGTTGGGAAAAAAACAAACAAACAAGAAAACTAGACAAAAATGATATGAATTTAACCTGATAGTTTAGTGCACAACCATTCGACCGATACATGTTCTGACTTCTGTACCTGTCAACGGAACGTCCCAATATTTGGAGCAAACTGTTCCCGCTTCCAGACAACCAGTTTCAGTTTTTCCCCACCAGTCTTCTTTATTTTGTATCTGTGACCACAGAGCTCACATGAATAGCCAAAAACCCAGTTTTGTCTCATCTGTCTGAAGGGGATTCTGAAAGGGAAGTCTTTGTGGATTTTCAATATGTAATGTTGGCAAGATTGAGTCTCTCTTTTATCAGCTTTTGTGTCACTGGGGTGAGTTAATAGCTGTCTTTAATAACTGTGCCGCCATCTCTACTTTACTCTACTATCTGTTGTCTGTAATTCCTGTCAAAGCATCGTCAGGGAAAACGTGGTCTTGGGGGTTGGTACCTGGCATTTTGCATGTTCATCGATGCGGCACCGGATGCTGTGCTCTGACACCGATACCTATTGCCCGTGGAGTTTACCCTTTGTCTCTTTGGAAGTTGTTCTCGGCTCTGTGGTTACCGATGATGCTGTTCTTCTGTCAGTTTGCCAATAACCTTGCAGCTATGTACAACATTGGCCGATTTAATATGGTTGGAAAATAATGGCATATTTGCATTTTTTTCCATTTTACTTGGACCACTGTCTGCTCTGCACCGTGCGCTAGCGTGGCAGTGGGCCCTTTTGCACGATGACTGGACGATCCGTTCCGAGATGAAGAATCACTTTTTATATTTACAGCACTTTAGAGAGTGCGCTGTCATTTCAAAGCGAGCGACATCATCAGACCAACTGCAGCCAACTTATTTCCATTTATATATTTATTTGTGTATATATATTTGTATATTCATGATTTTATGAAATCATTAGAGTTCTCAGAGAGTCACCAACAAGCCATTGGTTCTGTGTCAATTACGTAGTGAAAACACAACAGATAAACCGTGACTAAAGCAGAAATTTTAATAAAATGAAAAAAACAAAACAAAAACATTTTATTAGTCTGATCACATCTGCTTTTTTTCTCCTTCTAGATCCACTCCATGAACCCTCCCCAGCACTGACAACTCCCCAACCTCCCTCTGAACCCCAGTCCCCCGTGTCTTCGTCTTCTCCTTCCCACTCCCCACTTCCTCCTCTCCCAATTTCCTCACCGATGCCTCCCGCAGTGGATCAAGAGAAAAATTCACTCCCCCAAAGCCCTGTTGCTTCTTCGTCTCCATCGCCTCCCCCGCCTGCTAATCTTCCTCAGCCAGCCACACCACCTCCAGCCTCACCTCCTCCTCCTCCTCCACCTGCATCTCAGAAGGAGTCTCCTACACCCTCACCAGAGTCTGCCACCTCCCCAGAAGAACCACCGGCTCCAAAAATCACCTCTCTGCACCTTGCTCAAAAGCAAGAAGATGCTGCTATTGTTGGAGAGAGTGAGGAGGACGACAGTGAGAGCGGAGGAGAGGGAATCTTCAGAGAAAGGGATGAGTTTGTGGTTCGAGTGGAAGACATACAAACTCTCAAGGTTTGTACGTTTTTAGTTATTAGTATTAACCTGTATTCAGGGCAATGTGAACCGGTCGCATCATAAAGGAGTCACTTTTGTACATTTTTGCCTTGAATCAGGTCGGGATCAGACCTGCAACTATTTTGCTGTGTTTGCCAGATCTCTTGTAGTCAGAAAAGAGACCTGGCAATTTGTCAAAACTGAATAAATCCCGCGTAAGACCAAAGGTGTACACATTCTGGTTACGAAAACGATTTTGTTTTTGTAAATGTTGACATTTTGTCTTAGCCTGTGTCCTATGTGTCTCAACAGCTGGCCCTGCAGACCGGTCGTGAGCCTCCTCCCATTTGGCGTGTGCAAAAAGCCCTGTTACAAAAGTTCAGCCCAGAGATCAAAGACGGGCAGAGGCAGTTTTGTGCCACAAGCAATGTGAGTTCACATCCAGCTCGGTGTTCATGATGTGCTTATTAGAGAAGTTACGTAGTGTAATATGTGCTAAAGGGGAAAGTGGTTCCAGCCACAGTTGAGCCCAGTAATGCGTATTTTTAAGTCAATATTGTTATTCTTTTTTTTTTTTTAAAAGTGGTTCCAGCCATAGTTGAGTCCAGTAATGCTTATTATTAAGTCAATATTGTTGTTCTTTTTTTTTAAATTATTATTATGTTTTTCTCATTCAGTATCTTGGATACTTTGGAGATGCAAAGAAGAGGTACCAGCGAATCTACGTAAAGTTTTTGGAGAACGTAAACAAAAAGGACTATGTCAGAGTCTGTGCTCGGAGACCTTGGCGAAGAGTTGCCCCTGCTCACAGGTACTTTTGCGGCAGGTTCTAGAAGCATTTTTTTTTTTTTTTTTTTTTGCACACATTTAGTTTTTTAATTTCCTCACACCAAAACTCAATCTTCCAGAAAGTGTTGGGAGATAGCTTTAATACTAAATTAAATAAAAGCATCTGTCTTTAATACCTGCCAGTTTATCAACATTGTGTTCAACAAAACAGGCCTAGTTTCACATTGAGTATGTTGAGTGAGTAAAGTGTAAAGAAAACTTGGAAAATAATTTTATTTATTACATTTGCTGTGGTATTTTTTTTAAATTGCGGTATTGATGCATGTAATGTGGATCCAAAAAGGATGGGAAATACTGCTATACTGTACATAAAAGCTAAAGCTACTGGAACATAGATCTCGAAGCTAGGTTATTTCATCACATACACAATTGTGATGAAATAACCTAGCTTCTAGATCCATGCTTCAGTAGTGCTTGGTAGAGAAGCTTCGAAAGGAAGGCCCGGAGATGGTTGTCAAAGCACTACTGCAATATACAGTAGTTATCAAAAAAAGTTAAAAAAAAAATTGGAAAAAAACAAACAAGAAAACTAGACAAAAATGATGATGAAGGAATTTAACCTTCATCATTGAACAAGATTGCCAGCCACAGGAAAGACGTTGTCATTTCCATGCAGGCAGTTTTTTTGTGTTTTTCACGTGTTTGCAAAACTGTCCAATTTTGTGTTATTTAAACCCAAGAAGCTCTGTTAACCACTAATTTACATGTTGCATTTCAGAGCTCTGTTAGCCCAAAGTGAATATTTATTGTAGACCAAAAGGATGGAGATACTTCACCAAATATTTCACCAGGGAGCTAGCTTAGACAGTGTTTTGGAGTCATTGCCAGCCAGCACTCGCACAGAATGCCCTGTTAAATATAAAAACAAGCCTTATAAAAAAAAAAACACACAAAAAAAACCAAAACATTATGTCCTAAAACATTTGAACTCAGGGACTGTCATTTCACCCACATTAGTTTCCTCCAAACTTTGACTGCTACTTCTAGAAATAATGGGTAGTATAGGTTAAATTTAATCCAACATAATAGGTCTAGTACTACTACGAAATGGGTATAATGAATGATCATTTTAAAAACTAATTTTTAAAAACTAAAAAAAAAAGTTTTTACATAGGGTTTGATTTTAGGTCCTTCTTAAGGGGATGATAACCAAAGTCAAAAATAAAAGAAACTTAATGTGCTGCTGGAACAGTTAACATGTGGTCCCTTTAGACCATGAATGGTCAACGATTGACCGTTGTAGGCACAGATTTGACACAAGGATTAAATGTAATGGATGTAGGCCTCACAGTCCAAAAACCCCTCTCTCCGTCACTGATACGATTTTTTAAATTTTTTTTCCTTCAAGGGACTTTGTTTCATTTGTTTATGTGTAGCAATTTTTTAAAAAATGAACATAAAAGATAGTCTTGATAAATAACATGTTTAGAGATGTAAAGCATGCACTTGGAGAAAGACTGACTGTCTATGTCAGTGGTGTCAAACTCATTTTGGTTCAGAGGCCACATACAGCCGAACCAGTGCAAACTAACATTTATTACCTATAACAATAAGTCTTATGTTTTCCCCCTCTGGTTCTATGCAAATGAATGCAAATAAATACATATTTTTAAAAAAAAAATCTATATTAAATGAAATAATTTTACAAAACATTATGAAGTGTTTGTGATTTTGTTTTTCTTTCAAAATGAATGAAATGAAATTGAACCCCCTAGAGGGCCAGTTTTGGCCCACGAGCCTTATGTTTGACACCCCTGGTCTAAGTCCCCAAGTTTGACCTCCAACTAGAGACAGAAAGTTCTGGTTTGTTTGATCTGTTTTTAAACTTGTATCTTTGCCCTACAGACGCCAGTCCCTTCCCAGAATGGCATCCCCATCTGCAACCCAGGTGCCAGCTAGAACTGCAGACAAGGAGGAGAAAGCAGCTCCTGTAGTCCAGCGAGAACTGAGGGAGAAATTAAGAATAGCAAACACAGCAGCAGCGAAGGAGCAGTGTGAGAAAAGGGAAGCTCCAGCTTCGATTGCCAAAACTAAAGAGAGGGAGCAGGAGAAAGAGAAGCAGGTTGAGCAACCCCTGCAGGAGAAATCGGAAAAGCGCACCACAGCAGCAGAGCGAGGTAGATCAAAGGGGGAGAAGAAAGCAGTGGAGAGGAAAGAGAAAGAAAAGCCTGTTCGCCCACCCAAGTCCAGGCCAGCAAAAGTGAAGGCAGAGCCGCCTCCTAAAAAGAGAAAGAAATGGCTGAAGGAAGTACCTTCATCATCAGACTCGGAATCTTCAGACGAGGCTGCAAGTGAGAATGAAAGTAAGTTGTCGAATTCTGCAAGTGCTTCTGCGTGTGATGTGTACCGCTTAGTCACACCTTCTACTTTCTTCTCTGGGAGGGAGTTCACTTGCAGGACCTCCATTCAGACTCAAAGTACAGGCTTTTCCGAGTTTAAATTTCTCCTCTTTTTTGAAGTAAACTGCATACATACATACACACATATACTTGCACTTAATTAGGTTGTTGACATTCACTAAAATTACTAATGTATTACGTATTTTCTGGACTGTAAGTCGCTCTGGAGTATAAGTCGCACCAGTGCCCTCTAGCTGCTGTCAGTGTAAATAATGAACATGGCAGAACTTATGACTATTAGTGCTTTCAGAACATTGTTTATAAGATAACAGATACAGATACTTGTGGCTGTCAGTGTGAAAATAACAAAGTGCACCGCATTGTTCCTCTTGAATCCGAGCCCCCCCAAAAAAAAATTCAACCCCCTCCCTGACAACAAGACCACAGTTTCATTCCGAAGGACACCCAGCCAAAATTGGCGCTCGGGTGATACTGTTATTCCATAAGTATGATACCCTCCTTATAGAATAGTAGTAAAATACCCAAGTCAAAATGTAATTAAGTAAAAGTAAAATTACCTATTACTGAAACTACTTTCCACCTCTGGTGACCACTGATCCATGATACATACAGAAGAAGTCTTTCCCCTTAAAGTGGCAGAACTTATGACTATTGGTGCTTTCAGAACATTGTTTATAAGATAGCGGGAAGCGGTGCACCAGCAGCAGAGCTGGAAATCGCAACTCCTTAAAACCTAAAAAGTGTTGTGTGGAAACTGTTCCAACAATATTATAATGATATAAGAATACTATATAAAAATTATATAGTAATATAATTATATAGAATTATTATATGGCTAGATGAATATAAGCACATTTATCGGGCCATATAATATTATATATAATGTTCTATATTGAGTGGCGCTTTGGCCCAGAGGCAATGTCTCTGTCATTGGTGTGGAACCCCAGGTTTCACCTCCTGGGCAAGTTCGAATCCCGGTTAGGGCGGTTGGTACCTTCCAGTGGACTCACCACCCGCAGGAAGGTTTGGTACGGTGCAATGTGATTTGGGTGGCGACTGCTGCCCCCGCGAGCCGGTAACGGATAAGCGGATGAAAATGGATGGATGGATGGATGGATGTTCTATATTGAGTTGGTAAAACTTGCAAATGTTACATAACAGATACGTTTGGGGCTCCTTCTAGTGGACATGGGACGTAATATAAGCTGTATATAGTGAGCTTTAAAAACATTTAAAACATCCATCCATCCATCCATCCATCCATCCATCCATC